GGATACCCTAAGCGCTTAGCATGAACGTTTACCTAGATGGAGAACCTTATCGGCACAAACCCATTGGGCAACCGCCAAGTACCGCTTTGCTAAAGGACAGCTGCAGCCCACCCATGCACACTGCTCTCTTCCCTGAAAGCAAGCTGCTGTCCCGTGGAAAGCGCCGCTAAATACACCGTGGGAGGTCAAATTTTGTGGTAGCCTCAAGTGGTGTACCTTGTAAATGCTTTCCAGAAGTCCATGAAGAAACGTGCACTTTGTGACTATTGTACGTTGCCCCAGCCCATGCTTCACGAGCAATTTACCAATCCGTTGGACACGAAAGCTCTTCCCGGTATCCCTATTGTGCACCACAGAGTGGCTCGCATCTATTTAGATAACTCTCAACAAAGCTCTTACCAGCTTTTCAAACCGTTTGACCCCGGCGCTAGCCAGAACGACTAGCCTATAATTGGCTCACTGACTCCTGTTGCCACTGTTGAAACTAGGAACGATCACAGCCTCCTTTCTTTTAGAAGCTAATGTACAGCTCACAAGCGCCTTAAGAAACACCGTCCCCAGTCCTGCTGCCAACACATGCAGAAGTTGCTGGTGAAGTTAACCAGGCCTCGCTGCTTTATAAGGGTACATTACGGGCATCAGCCTAAGGACCTTTTTTAGTCCACAATAAACTCAGTTAAATAAGAACAACCAGGGACTCTGGGGACAAAGTCAACGCTAGCCAACACGTCCTTACGTACGAAACCCCTACATATTGCTTACCAATAACGAGCCTTTTCCTAGTCCGCATATGCATGAACTTTATCGGCCGACAGCAAAGTTGGAATTATTGAGGTTAAACCACAGCGCCTCTGAACAAAATCGTGGAACTTCTTTGCCTTTTCCAAAGCTTCATAAGCTAATCCGCTTCCGTAAAAAGCCGAGCTTTTCTCAAGTATTGCTTGCACCTATTTCTAGCCTTGCGGTACCTATCACAAGTGCTATTTACTGGAGTGGCAAGGTAGCTCCTTCAACAACTAGAACGCTTTTGGAGCAGGTAGTTGCCGGGGTATCTATACACGGGAGCCCTGCTCGTGTCCCATTGCTCTAGGCAAGCGGGATTTATGGAGCTGACACTTCGTGAACTACAACTTAGGTTAATCGTACGCGAGCTAAACTGTATCGGCTACCGAGCTTTAGCAACGCAAATCAGAAGCATTGGTAAGTACTGCTTGCTAATTCGCAAGCGAGGTTGGGATACGGCACCTCGGTGCCCTGGTGATGTCTGGACATAGCAGAGCTGAAGTCTAAACCGACATGCTCAATGGCACCTAATGGAGGTTTTAAGCCATGTCATCTACTAGGTCCATACGGTTTCACGTTAGAGTGTGCCCTTAAAGCAATGGCTTTCCTCCGTAGTGCAGCAGCTTGCAGCCTTAGCACAAACTATAATCCGGTAGTCACGAAAACTGCAGCCACGAAGCCCACTTTTAAGCAGCTGCCGCTTGGCTCAAATGGACGTCTCTTTTGTGTACCTAAGCCTTCCTTGTGAAACCGTTTTGTTCCTATTCCCTACCCGTTCGCTCAAGCCAGGGGACAGGAACCAGTATTCCGGGTATGTTCAATACTACGCCTGCATTCAACCGGAAGAGTATTGACACCGCCTAGCCTTCATACCCCAGATATTCGGGTTTGGAGCCAGTTCATCAGCAAGCCCCTGCATCTCTCCTCTTATTATCCGTTGTTAGTGCGCACCTAGATGAGCGGTTCGCTTGAGCGATCAAACGAGATGTCTGTTTCAGGCCAACGGACAGCAGACGGACGGAGGGCAACGTGGATGCAATTTTCGTGGCTATCTGCATATAACCGTTGCGCAACTTATGTAGGCCGCTGCACTACGGATGAAAGCCAGTGCGTTAAAGATTTAATCGCTTCTGGCTATAGCGACTTGCCAAAAATGTTCCAAAGGATATGGTACCTTGTCGTCCATATAGCTAGTGAGGTGGTCTACGAACTGATGTGACGGTACATGTGGTGTATGTTCGACAAGTTCTGCAACGGAAGTATTTGGTGCCAAGTTGCATTAAAAGGTTGCCCAGAAAACTTCTGGTATCGGCATCAAACACCTGTTTGCCGAATGGCAGCGATTACATCCCGGCACCTATATGGTTGCACACCCAGGTCTACTATACACAAGTACAAATGTAACCTGAGCCGAGGAAGTAGCAGGGACTACCGAAGGAGGCTCGTAAAGTTTGTTTACTGACGGAAACCTATAGGCACGACAAACGTCGTTAACAGCCAGCATAACGCGCGATGCCGCGTTTTGCCGGACAACGAAGCGATCACAGCTAAATAGTGCTTAGCCAAACAACTATACTTCACTGTCCGTGATGTCCTGAGACTGCCAAGTTTTAGTGAACGCAAGTATATAATGATGAGACATCTCTGCATGCATATCTATCTCGTGCACCTGATTCCTTGAGCTTCACACAGGGCTGTGCACTACAGGAAGGCCTACGCAACGTCCAATCCCGAACATATAGGGGCGGGGCGAAAACGGACCTCCAGTTGGCCAGCGAACCACCCAACAACCGGGATCTAGTACACCTACCTCTCGACTGCTTTCGTGCTCCTTGATGGTCCATTTAAGCTCCAGCCTACCTACTAGCAGGGTTGTGGATAAACGCAAACGATAATACTCTTCATTTTGAAAGCAAACAGTACTCGCGCCTTGTGTTCCACCGGGGTGGATAGGACCACCCCAGGAAAACATGGTCGAGGGTATGGTGCGTGGAATAGGACGTTACCCAATCTAGTCAGATTTCTGATATTAATACCCGGAAACCCAGATGATAGAAACTTCAGTACGCGCATTTTAAACCACGATAGGTCATTCAACGTACGTTCAGCAGGCAGCTGAAAGAATCCCGTCGATCGGGTGTAGTTACCCCAGGAGTTTTTGAATATACATTAATAGCAGCCGGCTTCGCCGGAGGCAGTGAAACTGGGCGCGCCTACTTAGACAACGCCGAAGCAACGGCAGAGTGCAACTTGTGCCTTAATTTGTTTGACTCAGCATTACTGAGGCTTTCCAAACTGGCCTGACGGTTTTGCGCAATTCTGTCCAGTTTTCTAATTCGTTCAAGGAGCGAAGAGCCCTTGATACAAAAAGTGATGTCAGACCACACCACCTTTACCCCAGGATGACAGGATGCGGTGCTTGAAATAGCCAAGACCGCAGCCCGCTTTTCTCGTGATAACGTCAACTGGTGCTTCCCCCGTTTCCTGCACAGCCTTAGATGATGACTTAGTAGCAAGCTTACGCGATTGCCTAGACTGATTTACATCAAGTCAAGTCAAAGCAAGAAATTGCATTATGCACCTTGCATGCATGAATCTACAGCTACAATACACACGCTCTCTACAATAGTACCAAAAATAAATCAGTGGCAAAGCAATACGACAAAGAACCGGTAGATAAGAACAAAGAACACAATCAAGTTGAACCTCGACTGTTTAGTTCAAGGTTAATAGAGTTGGGGTCTCACAAAAGGCGCGACAGAAGAGGGTTGACTGAAGAGAGGTAAGCTTGTGTGCTGCCATAGATTAGCTTGTAGTTCTGCCTAGTGGATGACGTTACTAAGCATTCAGATGAGGCAGAATGTAGGTGAAGACTTGTATCTGCCAGCAACTTAGGATCCAGATTTGTACAAGGATTTGTAAGCAGAAATAAGTGTTGGTAAAAGTAGATATGGACACACTGCTAACTCTGGTTAAATAATTAATGAGCTAAAAATTAACTTAAAACGCCTGCCCAAAAGACCGGGAGATACCACAGAGGAACAGTAAGTCGGCTGGGAAGAACGAGCAACTCACGAGAAACGCAGGAGGCTCTGAGCCGAGAGGCATAGGAGGACAGCCTTCAGACTTCTTTGGAAGTTTCAGTTTATTGCAGCGACCAAGTTAAATCATAGCTCAAAGTCACACCCAAATATTTTGCTGATGTGGAGGACCGTAATCCGCAGCAATCAAGGTTTACCTTGTTAGCAGGGTTGTCTTCCAAATATACACCACCTATCTGGGTAGAGCCGAAAATGCTAAGAGAAGTCTCTTCGTAACCGAGCTTTTCTTCAACAAGTGCTTATGACACTGGTGTGGGCACTACCGTTTGACCAATAAGGTTGATCTACTCGTTAGGCTAATTTAAACCAACGTCACTGGAGACAGCAAGGGACTCTATTAATCTGTCTAATTTACGATCGAGGGTAATAACCACAATGGTGATCACTGGGGATAAATTGTCTAAACTTTGTAGTCTGGCGTAAATGGATCGACATTTTACCGAGGATACTCGGACTACCAAATGAGGCAGATAAGAAGCGCACTGTCTCTGGTAGATAGCCTGGCGTATGATTCACCAGTCAGCCTTTAGGTTGCTGGTGATACCAGCGGTTATCATCGTCCCTTTAAATGCCACCAGAATCATCAGTTACCAGCAATGCACCTCGCACCCCCGCAAGCTGCTTTATCCACCATACCAGCATGGGCAGATAACGAGCACATTATAAAGTGGAAACTAGCGGACTGGTAACACTTACACACTGTAAAAGGACGAACAGCAAAATATAAAAACGGATATAACACGGATTTATACAACGAAAAATCCGAAATCATTATCGCCAGGAGTTGAAAACGCTTGGTACTGGACCAAGCTTATCGATTCAAGTTGCTTTGGATCAGAGAGAATTTGACAGCAATCAATGCTCCGTACAATTAGTTATTCAGACACTGCCACAATATTGCAGCTAAATATCCTCGCTTAGTATGACACGCCAAAAAGTTGTGTTAGCGCTTCTAGGTCATCACAATGATATAAAGGCGGACGATAATTTTACAATCTTCATAATATTCTTAATACAAAGCCTTTCGGTGCTTGGTGGTTAAGCTATTTTACGAAGAAGGTCATAAAGTCTGTTGAATTTTTTCTTGTGAACGCGGCCTTTCTTGTTTAAACTGGTCTAGGCCGAAGTGCTCTTAATTAATGGCGTCCGTTTGCTGCCTAAATAAGGTGGTCGTGCGGGATCTTGTTTCTTCATGGGTTTCACGTGGTGACCCCATCAACTTTGTGGGGTTTGCTTTGAATGATTGCAAGTCTGCACTCATTCTGCATTCTGACAGTTCAGGTAGATTGAAGTCTCTGTCTTTATCTATTTAGGCGTTCTCGCTGGTTCTCCATTCGTTGATGCCTTGTTCACCGAGTTCGGCTGCAATATCGAATGGCACCTCTCTGATGGTGATCTTTTACAGGCGGGCGGGAAGGTGGCCACTATTAAAGGCTCTGCCTTTCAACTAATGTCCTATGAGAAATTGGCGATCACTATTTTATCTCGCGCCAGCAGCATTGCGACGACAACTAAGAAGTAATGAGCCGCTTGGTGTTTAACTTTTAGGTTGCGCAAAATTCTGACGGATGTTTCATGGAAAGGGCAACTTAGAGTACATCGTTCCCTCACACCCGGTTTTGAGCTAGTTGAAGAGCACGCGATGGTACTCGCTGGCGTTGTTCCCACTAGACCATCCATATTTATACGTCAGTGCCACGCATCCTCTGCTGGTGGTATTGAAAAAGTAAGTTCCGTAGTACAACTCCTGAAGCTTAGGCAATTGAATCAATCCGTTCGAAAGCTGGCATGACAACGAAGCTTGAAGTTGAGTGCGCCACCCTCTCCGAGGCCCTTGCAGCTTCCGCTGCGGGCGCTAATATAATTGTTTTTAATAAACTCCCTCTAAAAGTAAGTCATTTCGGACTACGTTTTATTAGAAGGAACTCGGCACCAGCATTACGCAAGTGAAGGGTTCTTACCCTCATATTCAAGTTCAGCTCAACGGGGACTTTGACGAGAGTAATCTAAGGGCTGTCGCTCTATCCAACGTCGACCTGTTGTCCACTTCCAAGCTGTCATCAGGGTTTTCCCACATAACTTTCAGTTCCACCTATGATGACTTCGGACCCGAGAACCTACCTGATACAGAACGTTTTGGTAAGTAGTTGGAGTTTGTCTTAGATCCATGACTTAAGCAGTCGTAGGCGTTCGTACCAGTGATTTCGTTGTTTACCCTCTGTGATGGTGCCTGCAATAGGAGTTGGTCTTGTTTTCGATATCGCGCTTTCGAGCGACGTTTGTTGCTGTCGTATATATGTATCCTTCATGGAACCCTGATAGCATTTGGACTTGCGTGACCGAATTCTATCCGAAGTAACCTACGACGGAACAAATTTTGTACAGAGATCAAATAGTCAAAACAAAAATTAGCAGGAATTAGTGCAGTTCTACACGGATTCATAACCTTTTGATTGCTGCTTGGCGGCTATTCAGGCAGCATTTACTATTGAACGAACCTACGGAATCCTTTTGAAGCGCCCCAGAACACCACATTTGTGGTAGAAAACATGCATTGTGCAGTAGCTACCCGAACGGAATAATGTAGCAAGGTGATTAACATTGTTAGGGAAAGTTTCTTCATCTGCGTGACTCTTGTTTCTCCAACTTTAAGACCATCGTTTCCCATACTGATTTCATTATATCGGACTTTCTGTTAAGGTCGCATAACACAAAGCCATCTTGCAAACCCTTTTGTTATAAGTTGCTGCGTATCTGTCTAGATAGCATTTGACAGTTGTTAATGGTGTTAAGTGTTTTCTGTTTTCCACAGCGTTTCCAATCCGGAAGCGGGCGGAGATCAGACCGTTGACCGCCGAGTGCTACTATTAGGGAAAAACACTATTGGCGAATATTTAGCAGCAAGAGAATGCAACACAACTCGATCGCAAAGCGCTTACATATATCCAAGTGTGCATAAAGACGCTCGTGTGTGTGTGTGTATGTATGTATGTCTTTGCCTGTCCTGTGAAGACCACGGTGGTAGGCAAATCCTGACTCGGATGCTACCAGCCAATGCAAATATGTTGCTCCAACGGTAGTATCTTAAAGCGAAATCATCCAGTCAAAAGTTTGTGCGGCTTAATACTGGAGGTCGTTGGTTCACAATCGGTCGACTGTATGATAGGTCTCGCTGATAAAGCTGCTCCCTTCTACGCGGTATTGTCTTCGCGGTTGGATCAGGTTGCCCAGTTGATGCTACTGTTAGTACGTATTTAGATGTACCTAAACTCCAAGGCTAAACAATCGTTTGCGTTTTGTGATGTGAGCTGTGATAAGGAAGGTCTTTGTTCCCCACTAGTAGACTTATGCTGACTTAATCATCGATCATCATAGCTTGGCGTCCCGTTTTATCGGGCCTGGAATGGTTTCCTCTGGGGGCTACTCAATCCACGAGTGCACTGTTAAGATTGCCCGGTTCCAGGGGTAAGCTCTGACTTACAGTTCATGATATGTACAGATGCATGTATTCTCTTTATCACTTAGCGCAGTCTAACACTTATAACTGGAGCTTATAACTTCGGCGAACGGGATTATCTTGCTGACTATAGGTACTAGGACAAATAATACAAAGTGCGGTCAGCTAACCAGAAAAGGAGTCGGAAAAAATGTATATGGTCACTGGAATATCCGTATGTGGAAGTACCATCGACTGCACGACTTCATACGTTTGCATGGTTTCCTACGGCTAATGTAATTGGTCTATGGACACATCTACGAGAATTGCACGTGTATATTAGACCAAGCCGTCGTTTATATGTTCTTTCCTGCAACCTGTTTGGCTAGGCGCCTTGGTGTCCCTCTATTCATGCTAACCGACCAGTGTGGATAGCGATATAGACAAGCGATTTGAAGTCAGCAGTCATTTGCGTACTTCCGCAATCTTCCATTTGCAATCATTTGTGGTTGTGTGACGGCGAGGCGCAGCTTCGATATTTCGATACGCTGCCCATACTTTTTTCCGCAGTTGCTCACGATATACTATGATCTGACAAGTGGCTTACTTCATCATCGCTTACTGAGTGTTCCTCTCGTATCTAGTCCGTAGGATAGCAGCGATGGTTAAGGAAGGCCGGTTACATCATGTGTTACTTGCAAATTCTGATCCATGCGGTAGCACCGCTCGTACTTCCGCGTTACACTACTCAACGTTGACTGTTAAGCTCCTGTTGCACCCTCTCCATAGACAATAATGGCTTCAGAAAGACGCGAACTAGATCGATACGATAGCCTCTACGTCGACCTATTCCAATGCATCTCCAGTGCTAGTCAGAATTTGTTGCGTGTCAGCTCACTCACAGCAGCTTGTACTAGTACCATACGAGGCATGTTACATTATATCAGTGTACAAAAACGCACTTGTGCTGTGACTGAATCCCCAACAGGAAAGTCGTGTCACATTCTGCTGTCGCTACGAAACTAGACCTTAACGTGGTGCGACAGTTTGCGTGCCTCAACGATCTGATGAGCTATGCCGGGTGGTACATTCTCACCTTCAGAGCCACTCATACCAGAAAGCCGACCCGTAGCCTAAAGCTAACGAGCTTGTCTTGTAGTCTGGCGGTACGGGTTCGAACCTACTGGGGGGCAGGGTGATCCTCGCAATATTATTAACCCACATGCGCGACCGGTGGTAATTGCTCGGTCACGAGGCGTCGGTACTGCGTACCGGCGTACTGCTGATGACTTTTACCGGCCCGTAGCCTAAAATTAACTCACTCGTCTTGTAATTTGGTGGCGCCTGTTCGAGCCTGCGGATGGGCAGTGTGACCCTCGCAGTATCCTTAGCCCACATGGGATCCGTGGTGGTTGTGCGGTAATGAGGCCTCAGTATTACGTACTGGCGTACTGCTGATGTTTTTCTCTCATACCCGATTGGTTATAGGCGCTTCAGGTTGGGGATTAAAGTGAGGATGGCTCCTTTCTCTTTTTTTGCCAGTGCCAAAACCCCCGCTGCTTTGCTGCCAGATTATTAAATCAAAGGCTTTGGTTGTGCACCCTATCTAGGTATGTGCAGCGTGATAGTATCCTGCCCACGCAATACGGTACAGTGAACTTTTCTTCATCCGATCTCTTAAAACTCCCTCCGTCGCGCAGTGTGATTCAAGTTGCCTTATCTGCTGCATCGATCAGGGGGTTAGGAATGAAGATGCTACTGCTCAAGTCTTCCCTATTCCCCCTCTTACACGTTTTCATCCTTTTCGTCACGTTCCAACTTCACTCTCATCCTCCCATTTTCGATTCCCCATCCTCAGTCATCTGCCTCCCACTTTGCTTCAGTAGTCGCTTTTCTAGTTCCGACTCACGCAATCTCAGGGTGTTTCATTGGTCCGGTCTCCAAATCCATGTGCAACCAAGCGGACAAGTTATTCCGTTTCTCTTTAGAGCCCGCGATCCTCGCTGACTGGCATGACTCCGTGCACACCGTTACAGCTTAGCCAACAGACCCTATCGGTCGGTATTTGCTGCTTTCGGAAGCCCGCCTGCAAGCTACGAACTCCGTGCGACGCTGGCGTCTTTTTTCATTGCATCTGTCCGGACATGACAGCTTCAAATGACGGTCAAGGCGATGTTGCCTGAACGTGCACTGAACCGTTAGATCGCGGTCAACAACCGGGTGTGCGGCGTCAGATTCACTGGCTCGCGCGGGGACAAACGTTACCTGTTTGTCATTGCTGCGTGCGCGCCCACACTGTAGCACTGACTCGGTGAAGTGATTTTTATCACCAATTGGGTACTTTTAGTTACAGTAAAAGTACTCATATTGCGTTTCTTGCTAACGCTCTGAATGCCCAAGTTGGGAAATTGTCCACTGATGAACTACGTGTGGATGGCCATGGTGTTGGCTCCCGTAATGATAACTGCGCGGTTGCTGCACTTGCGGAAAGATGCTCGTCTCTTTCTTTTAAGCACTGACTTTTGACACAGCACCTTCAGAAGAGTGACATGAAGCCCACCAGCCATGGACGCATATCGATTACATCGCGATCAGTTGCCACTGGAGAGGTTGTGTCCAAAACCGACGCTCGATTTGAATCACCATCGTGGGCTCTGACCACACACTCGTTCTTGTCGATCTTCGAGTTCGCTTCGGTAAACGCATGCGGCGACGCTGTGGGTGCACAGACACTAGCCAGATGTTCTTAATGAGTATCATAGTACTCTGGCACCAGAGCTGAGTAAGCGCTCCCTGAACACTTTGGAGGGCCACTTGTCGCATATCTGCCAGACGTTATTAGCAGCAGTCATGTTATGCGGCAAATCGAGTTGCCAACCTTGACATTGGGTCTTTACCTTGACTGGAACTTCTGATTGGTCACAGACACATTCCGGCTGAAAGTGAACACAACGAGACTCACAATGACCTCAAGGCGGAACTGCGTGCTAGGTTGAAGTGAGACGGGGAAGCCTGTTGATCTCATCGTGCATCGATGGGAATTGTCGTTGCCCGTGGTAACTGTCGGAGGTTCTTCTGTCTTATACGCGAAAATGGCAGGAGACCTGGTGTTTTTAGGCTTACATGCGACGACAGTCAACAGATTGTCAAAACGCTTAGAGCATTGGGCCGAACACTTCAAAGCAACTTGGTTAGACAGGATTCATGGCTTCTATATCGACAATTTATCGTCTTTCTCCCTAGGCCGTTTCCTTCAGCTCGCCTTCACGCGCAGATCAAATGCGAGTTCAGATTTGAAACGAAACTTCTAAGGACTTACTCTCCTGATTGACTTACACAACCTACTTGTGAGGCTGTGGGGGTAGGAAACTGTCCTAACACACCGGAGTCTCTATTATAATCCTACTTTTCAATAGGATTCACGTTCGGAATGCGGTCATCTGAGTGGAGTCAGCTTGATCCCAGTTGCCTCAATCGTTCCTCGTGAACTTGCGGCACTCATATAAGTCAGATTCGTGTGGAGTAAGCCGGGTTTCATCAAAGTCGCGGCTGCATTGTTCACATCTTCACATCCTGTCAATTGTTAGAGCACTGCCATATTTATTGGTAACCCGTCATAGTCGTATTTCTTCGCTTCGGTTGGTGTCTACTCAGGAAAGGTGTCCGGAAAGCGTAGACATCAGCGCGCTTTACATGCACAGTT